TTTTGTGGGGGGGGGGGGGGGGGGGGGGCAGGTCTACTTTAAACCCAGGAAGATGGTGTTGCAACTGCCTGGAGTTGCACTTTAATTAACCCAATAGCATTTGTATATTTTCTGAAGTACATATTATTCTATAATGCATTTGCATGCTTTTGAATAGTTTGCCAGTTTGTGGTTTCCATTCAGTGCAACTGTTAATGTTCTCTTAGCAGATTTCCTGATATTACTGACTTTGGTAGTGGCCAATAAATGGGTGATGTGCATTTTATCACTTTTATTCTTTATCAGACAGGAATATAAATGCTCAGCTACATTACAATGAAGTATTTTGTTTCCACCATCAACTCCAAGTCCAAATGCAAATTATTTTTGGACAATGAATTCAAAGAAAAATATTGACTGTCTTGTTAAATGTTTTTAATAACAAATGAATAATAATAATAGAAATAAAAACAGTAGTAATTATTCTAGTAGAAATAATAATAATAATAATAATAATAATAATCCTTATTTTTTTCTAATCTTTATTAATATTATTTGTTTTTATTTTTTAACTCAGTTGCAGATCTACATGCCCTGCCTGCAGGACAGAAGTACGAGATTGTCCTACCACGGCGAATTCATGCCGAGTACAAAAGAGACACTCAGGTAAAAATACACTTTCATTGTATAAAGTATATGTGAGGAAATATACGCATGTATGTGAACACGAGCACATGTGTTTGTATAGAATAGATTATCTGTAGTAATGCAGAGCTGACTCCTGGAGACCCTTGTAGATTGACCTTCTTTAGACCACCCTGTCTTGTGTAATTTGTGTCAGTTTCTCTGTAGTTTTTTCAGCTATTATGGCTGCCCATAATTTCAAAATAAGATGGTCTATGCAGGTTCTTATTTAACCAGGTCACGGTATTTGTAGTAGTAGTTAATCACATTCAACCAGACATTTTCTGCAATGTTGGAGATGTTTTGAAGCTTATCCAAGCCACTTATACAAGCACCAACTTATTAATCCATTCACCATGAAAAGGCCGATTATGACATCAAGGATGGGACTAAAGTGACACTAAACTCAGGAGTTAAATCTTAAAAATACATTCACGTACCATAACTTTTAACACCAATGTATGTTATTTGTGTATCACTCGGCTGTAGATCCTCAAATCATCTCTGAATTGGTGCTGACACTGTCCTTCCTTCTGGAGGGTGGCTACCTTTGTTTACCATGGTCCCTGTGTGTTGTAAAGTAGTCACCGCTCCAAGCTCACTCCCGGGATGGACTACATTCTCATGTTCAGTTTACTAATTTGTGTCAGCACCAGTGGCGTAACCAGAGTTATGGGCGCCCGGGGCAGACATTTTGTTTTCGCCCCCCCCCATATTATATAAACATCCACTGGAACTGTACCCCCCACATATATATCAGCTAAGGAACTACAAGTCCAAGCATGCCATCATTGTCCCTGTACACCCCCCCACACTCACACATATCACCCAGGGAACGGCAATATCTGGTTGTTGTACAGGGGCAATGAGGGCATGCTGGAACTTGTAGTTCCCTAGCTGATATGTTATGAAGCTGTATTCCACCTGAAAGTACTACAATGCCATTATAGAACTAAGAATAGAACATAAAATAAAACTTTTTTTTTTCTTCTAATACTCACCTGATTCCTGGATCCACCAACAAGCGCGGCCTCCCATCTTCCACGCTGCTAGAAGCTGCATACAGCGTGTGCTGGTTACTACTTAAACCGGCGAGCGCTGTGTGCAGCTTCTAAGAAGATACGCTATTAGCGTAGCGGGGAAGGCGGCTGCGCATTTTGCATCGCATTTTGCATTGCATTGGATCTGTTCATTAGAGAACAGATCCAGTTGAATGTGACTAACTACTACTACTAGATAAGACCGTTTGCTTATCTTCAAATGTAAGCATTCAGGCTTGATTTTGAAAGCAATGTTCAGTTTGTCATTTTGGTAGTCATAATTAAAAAGCATTAGTGTTCTTCATGTCTGGCTTTTAGTACTAATAAAAAAAATTATATTTTTATGCACGCAATAATGATCCTTACCCTGAGTCACTGCATGTGTGAAGAGGTTGGTCAATGCCCACAAAACATAAGATCACTTCCTGATCTGACAATAACTGGATCATCTGATGGATATGGACAATGATAGCAAGCAATCTTATCTTACCAGAACAGTTATTATTATACAGTTAAGGATGATTGTTGATTGGTCCCTGTGTGTTGGTCTCTATGATAAAGCCCATTGTTGGGTGAAACATGTCAGAGTGAGGAGGATTCATGGTGGGAACATGTGTACCTGTGTGCTAAAAATGTTTTCAGTGAAGCTTGCAGTGTGCAGCCAGACTTTTTTTCTGCGAGTAACTGCTGATGCTGGAAGAAGACACGCTCGGCTAGTGGGCACCCGCTGCTCTCTCTAGTACGGCTATGAAAGAGCGGGGATATCGGCCTATGGAATTTGGTCCTTGTGTGTAACTGTAGTTTGTTTATTAATGTGTTTAATAATTCTGAAATTGACATATTACTATGTAGTACTACCACTTCTGATCACAATTTTGTGGGCAGACATATATCAGCGATTACTTAATTATAAATTTCTGGAGTAAACAGTGCAATATTTGCCTTCTATGATGCTGCCAGATACAGCCCTTCAGGTGTTGCTACCCCTGTCATGGCACTAACGCTTAACTCCAGTGGTAAAGCCCAGCCTTTTCCACAATGCACCAATTCACTACTCGACAATCTGGGTGCTCATAGACAAAAGAGAAAGCTGACTAGCCAGGCAATGAAAAATGTGTTAAATGATGCAACATTCTCACCACACAGCTATTTGAAAATAAATTATTTTCCATAGTTCCCTCCTCTGACATCACCCTAAGATCATGTTATTGCATATGTTTTTCTAATAGGAAAAGCAAAATGGGTGGCTGCATGGGGTCCCAGGCTCTAGAGAGGCCCATAAAGCCTCAATTTTAGCTTTGCAGGCATTTTTTTTCACAGGTTGATTGGCAATGGCAGCTATTGCATTGTTCTCAATAAAGGTTTTCTTTAAGACTATCAAATGATCATGTACAATATGTATGCACACTCTACATAGTTACATAGTTACATGATTCAGGTTAAAAAGACACAAGTCCATTGAGATTAACCTGCAGAAAAAAAAGAAAGAAAAAAAACTCCTAAAGCAAAATCCTATGTCCACAGTTACCCACAAAATTCACAATATTCCAAATCCTGCAGGCATTTTTCATAGAGTCTTGTCAGAAGCAAAAGACCAATATCTAACCTCTATATGTGATCCAGTTAAACTTGTGGAGGGCCCATGAATTGATGGTAGCGTTAATTCACCACTGTATGATTGGTACTGATCTAATTTCTGATATACTTTCCCCAGGATCAATACCCACATGTGGATATGTATGAATTACACATTGAAGGAAAGCTTCTGGTTCTACACCTGGAGAGGAATGAGTAAGTGACCTGTTGGAGCATTTGGAAGGGATGAATAATTGGGCAGTAAAAGGAGGACATGTGACCCACTGGGCACTAAAAGAAGGATGGGTGACTCAATGGGCACTAACAGGAGGATGGGTGACTCCATGGGCACTAAAAGGAGGATGGGTGACTCCATGGGCACTAAAAGGAGGATGGGTGACTCAATGGGCACTAAAAGGAGGATGGGTGACTCAATGGACACTAAAAGATGGATGGAGGAGGTTGAGAAGCTGCCTCCCTTCTAAAACCTAATTTCCACACTTTGCTTCCCTCAGGGACCTGATAGCTGATAATTACAAAGAGACAAGTTACCATCAGGATGGCACACCGATAATGAGAAGCCCTAACAAGAACATAAAGGTAAAGTCACATTCTTTCTTGATGATGAGGGGACAATTAATACAGTATTTCTATGTAGAACACAAATTACATTCACAGTTAGGACATTTGATTTACTGAACTTTCCGCCACAATTCGAAGGGTTTCATTTTTATATTTGGAGAGTCTAGAACACCTTATTTCAGTCATGACACCCTTTAATAGTCAGCAAAACCTCAAGGCACCCCCCCTGGTTTAAAATGTAAAAAGCATAAATGTAAAAAACATTGTGTGGCCCCTCCAAAATCCAAATCAGACCCTTATCTAAGATTTACAAAGAAAGAAATGTAACATATTAAAACAGGAAACAGTCTTCCACTATCTAAAACGTGCTGACTGAGGTATCTGTGCGTTGCTTGTAATAAACCAAAACCTGTCTATGTCAATAAGCAAAGTATAAATATAATAAGAATAATACAATAAAAACATTATTTACATTGCTGAGCATTTCAATTTCCTGCCTGAGGATGTAAAATCTTTCATGAATGTGGTTGCAATTGATAGTTGGTTGTTCTCATATTGTGCAGGATCACTGTCACTATCAGGGCTATGTGGAGAATGACAGCCAATCAGTGGCCAGCATTAGCACCTGCTCTGGGATAAGGTAAGAGGATAAAGAATTTAAAATATCCATGCTTAAACAGAAAATAGGATATCTGATATTGTATGTAGTAGGGATGCACCAAAATTACATTTTTAGGCCAAAACCTAATTTTCAAAACTTGTCAGGCCGAATCCAAAAATTACCTTTTTCCAAAATGTTTTGGTTGAGCATTTCCTGTTTATTCACATAGTGATCACTATGTCCAGTACTGATTGCTCAATGTGCGTGCTCCTGTCTCTCCTTCCCGCACTGCCCCGCTCGGCCTCCTGACAGGTCTCTCCTTCCTGCTGGGCACCAGCAGCTGGCTCGGCTATGTGTCCCCTCCGATCCCTGCTGCCTCTGCTGACACAGGCAGGGAAGAGCAGTGGGGATTGGAGGGGACACAGGCCAAAGCTTGCACCCGGGGCCCAGCAGGGAGGAGAGAAGCTAAGGATGCACCCCATTTTTGCCCGTTTTTTTACTATTGCCATTTTGCCCATAGTACCATCTTCGGCCGAAATGTTTCAGATGCCAAAATTTTGGTGCATCCCTAGTATGTTGCTTTACTGTTAACATTTGTAAATGTGCTTATGATGTAGGAATAAGACCGCAATAATTGCACACTGCTAAGTGTAAACAATATTCTTGCTCATTTTTGAAGCGGGGTCATCATGACACAAGGCCGGAGGTTCCTAATTGAGCCCCAAGACTTGACAAATGAAGAACATGTTGTATATGAAGAAAAAGAGCCCCCCAAGTCCTGTGCAACATCTAGTCAACTGTGGGAGGGATCTATGTTGGCTCAAGAGGTGTTACCTGCTATGGATAAGAAGGTGAGACACAGGAGATCATTTATAAAACAGGAGCAATGGACTGCACTCCTCACAACCCATACTGGCCAATATTGGGGAACTTCATTAAAATTTACGGGAGAATTCAGTTACAACATTACATTCTTTCACACTTTCCCTGCAGCTGCCACAGCTCTTCTCCTATTGGTTTCTTGATGGGTGTTGAAGAGAAGAGAGAGATGGCACCATCATTAAACATGCTCTGGGAAGAAAATCATCACCAGCACCCGTCCATATGCATCACAAAGTCCTTTTACATCAAGATATTAACACATAATCATCACAAATCAGTTTTTATGGACCACGCAGGATCCCTTTGTCAAGGCATAGTGACTCTTTCATCCTTGCATGAGCCCATTAATCATTGGTTCTTCTCTTGAACCATAGCACACTGTTTTGTATGTGAGACATGTAGTGTACTCACTATGACTGGTTTCATCAGAAGCTCCCACACTTAGTGAAATAATACGCAGTGGCAACAGTTTTCATCTGCAAAGTCAGTAGTGGCAGTGGAGGACCGGGAACCTTTGGCCAAAGGGACAAAAACAACAACTTAGCCATTTTTTGGTCAGAACTAGGGATGAGCCGAACTTATACAGAAGTCTATTATAACTCTCTATAACTCTGATATAACTATCTATAACTCTCTATCAATCTGCTGTAACTAACTATACTAGAACCCTCTCTCTCTCTCTATCTCCTACAACACACTACATAGGGCCGCGGTGTCAGCAGCCTTATATAGTGTGCTGCAGGGACTTAGCTGTGAGACATGATTGGGCAGAGTCATCGTGACTTTGCCCAATCATGGCTCTATATTTGTACTGAGCCCTGATTGGCACAGTCTTGCACCTGACCTGCGGTCAGGTGCAAGACTGTAGCCAATTACCGTTTTGGACGGCGCAGTGCATTGTGGGATGTTCCGCGGTCGAACAGACCGCGGACATCCCGTAATGTTCGGCGTTCAGCGAACGCTAGAACATGCTATGTTCGAGTCGAACCTATGTTCGACTTGAACATGCAGCCTATCCCTAGTCAGGACAGATATCTGTGGTCTAACAAGTGTGCCATCCAGTGTATTAGTATGCCACATTGATTGGCAGACATGGAAAAAGGTGGGTAGAAAGGTGGACATGACTTTTCAAATCTTTCAACGGTGCTCAGTGAGTTGGTACTGGAAGACTTTCCTCAGCCAGATACTACAATTGCTGGTATGAACAGGGGACAGGTAGCTATATACTGCCCAGTGGCTGTCACTGAGTGCCACATATGTTTGATGTCATTCTGGGCCACTAGCCTATCATACCTTATTAGTACAGGCCCCCCTGCCTCCCAACCCAATGCTGTCCTGGTTAGCAGCCATGCTGACACTTATTCCATTCTTTTTTTACATATTGGTATAAATATTGTCAAATTTGGAGTTTTCGTTTTGTTGTCTTCACCGCGAGACTAAAAATAAAAGTTAATTTTTTGCTCAGAGCAGAATGCAGCATTTATAATACAATTGTTCTCCATGCACTGTGAAGCAAATTACATTTTATTCCGACAGCAAACAGGTGATTAGTAATTATTGGCAGTCCCTCCTGACAATGTGTAATGTATTCCTTCTTTGTAGGAAGAAATTGACAAACTTCAGAATTCATGGAAGTATATAGAAATGTATATGGTTGCTGATAAATCATTGGTAAGTCATTTATTTTTGTAGCAAGCCGTATTATAGCTTGAAACAGTTAGACAAAATTAACGTGAACAGAGCACCTAGACCGGGCTGCTTACACCCACGTGTCCTCAAAGAATTGAGCTGTATAATTTCAAAGCAATTGTATTGAATTATTAGAGACTCTCTAATGGCTGGCTTGGTACCGATGGATTGGCGCAATCCGATTTGGTGCCTATATTTAAAAGGGTTAAAAGTATTTACCAAGTAATTACGGACCTGTAAGTTTAACTTCAATAGTTGGGAAGATATTTGAAAGTTTGACCAAGGATCACATGCAATTGTTTGTGCTTCAAAATAATATAATAAGCGATAGTCAGCACGGATTCACAAAAGACAGAAGTTGTCAAACAAACCTACTTTCTTTTTATGAGGAAATGAGTAATAAATTGGACAGAAGAATGGCTGTGGATATAGTATACTTGGACTTTGCAGAAGCGTTTGACACAGTTCCCCACAGGCGGCTAATGTAAAAGTTAAGGTCAGTAGGTATAGAGTATTCGATCTGTAATTGGATAGAAAATTGGCTTAAAAACCGTATTCAGAGAGTGGTGATCAATGATTCGTACTCTGAATGGTCTGAAGTTGTTAGTGGTGTCGCCCAAGGTTCAGTGTTGGGCCCCTTACTGTTTAATCTATTTATAAATGACATAGAATTGGGGATTAAAAGTTCTATTTCTGTGTTTTCAGATGACACTAAGTTATGTAGTGGAATACAGTCCTTACAGGATGTCTCCCCCCCAACAAGCCAATCTGAATGCACTGTGTGATTGTGCATCTATTTGGCAAATGAGGTTTAATGTTGATAAATGTTAAGTTCTGCACTTGGGGACTAAAAACATGCATGCATCATTTACTCTAGTGGGAGTATGTTTGGGGGAGTCACTGATGGAGAAAGATCTGGGTGTTTTGGTAGACCATAGACTCAATAATAGCATGCAATGTCAAGCCGCAGTTTCTAAAGCAAGCAAAATACTTTCTTGTATTATAAGAGGTCCAGACTCCAGAGAGAGAGACATAATCCTGCCCCTGTACAAAGCATTAGTAAGACCTCATATGGAATATGCAATTCAGTTTTGGGCACCAGTTCACAAAAAGGATGTTGTGGAACTGGAGAAAGTGCAGCGTAGGGCGACTAAACTCATAAGAGGCATGGAGGAGCTCAGCTATGAGGAACGATTACCTGACCTGAATTTGTTCTCTCTGGAGAAGAGGCGACTAAGTGGGGGACATGATCACTATGTATAAATACATAAATGGTCCATATAAAGAGCTTGGTGCCAAATTATTCACTTTAAAGGTCACTGCGAAGGACAAGGGGGCACTCTTTGCGTCTGGAGGAAAAGAGATTAACCTTTGCAACCTTTGCATACAGTTAGAGCTGCAAAAATGTGGAATAGACTACCCCAGGAGCTAGTTCTAGCTAGCTCAGTTACCTGTTTAAAAAAAAATCTGGATGTATTCCTAAATGCACAGAATATTACTGGATATTGACTTCTTATAAGTATATTAAACACCAGAAATAGTGGATCCAGGGAATATCCGATTGCCTTATGGGGTCAGGTAGGAATTTTTTTCCCCCTGTTGGAGCAAATTGAACCGTGCTTTATAGGGTTTTTTTTGCCTTCCTCTGGATCAACAGAGGGTAATTGTGGGCATAACGTCCTGTTTTTTTTCTTCTTCTTATCTCTATAGGTTGAACTCGGTGGACTTATGTCTTTTTTCAACCTGGCTATGTAACTATGTACAGCACTGTGGCGTAACAATAGCCATAGCGGCCCATGCGGCTGCTATGGGGCCCTGCAGGTGGAAGGGGGCCCTAATAGGGTTGACGGCTCTCCTGCTGCCTGACTTTAATATCAATGACAGTAGGGAGGTTGCTGGGGGACCCCATCAAAATGTTGCTATGGGGCCCTATGATCTGTGGTTACGTCCCTGGTACAGCATTAAATTGTATAATATCATGACATTGAAAAGATTTTTTCTTTGTTAATGTTTTTTCTTTTTTTTTTTTCAGTTTGAGAAATTTAAACAAAATGCCACAGATGTGAAAAACAGAATATATGAAGTTACTAATTACATGAACATGGTGAGTAAGCTTGTGGTGGGCAGAAGTCAGAGAACTTGCATAGGGTTGCAGGATGGAGGTTGGAGACCTTCAGTGTTGAGACTTGAGGATGATTTGTGAATTGAAGGAGGAAACATCGCACACATCTTTATGACTTAGGCCACTCTCATAATACTGGGAGTTTCCAGGGAAGCGATCTCAGGAAATTCAACCAAGCTCCGTTCTGAAGCACTCAATAAAAGGAGGCGTCTGATTGAAATTCAACCCTGTCCTTCTGCAGCCCCGGGTCTCACAGCTCACTCTAGGAGGCCTTGGACCAGAGAGACATCTTTCTCTCTTTCATTGTCGCCACACTTATTTAGCCATTAAACACACCTAGTGCTCAGTCTTACAGTCCCCACAACCACTCCTAACATAACTTCTCAATCCACAGATTCTTTTGACAGAACAGCTGGGCACAATGGAGGCTCAAACATCTAAATTCTCAGGAACGTTACTAAAGACTTCTCATATGCAGATTAGACTCAAAACTTTAATCACTATAAAGTTACTTTTCACTGTCTGATGTAGTACTTTGCTGCTTAACAGCCTTTTTCCAGAGAAGCCTACTTGAACCTTCGAAGGTCTGTGGAAATCCCAGGAGGAACAAAGTCCTCCTCATCATGTTTCATTCCCCGTCTGGTGTTTACATGGTAGAAATTTCGGCCGCAGAAAATATTCATCCGTAAATGGTATTATGGGCGAAATGCCGATAGTACGGGAAAAAAAGTCTGAAAATGCACTGCATCCGCAGCTTCTCTCCTCCCCTGAATACAAGCTTCTGTCTGTGTCGGCAGAGGCAGTGGGGATAGGAGGGGACACAGAGGCAATCCAGCTGCCGGCAGCTAGCAGGGAGGAGAGTAGCTGTATGAAGGCTGATTGGGGCAGTGTGGGGGGAGGAAACCTGTCAGGAGGCTAAGCAGGGTGGTGCGGGGAGGAGACATCTTCTCCAGTGACTCTCAGACAGCTAGTTTTCATGATTTGGCTCGGGTGTTGACTAAGGGAGAGCTCACAAAGTCTGTTTTGCTCTTTCCCAGGTAAAATGGACAAAACATTTTGGGGTCATACTAAGAATTGTTCCTGTTTTGAGAAAAAAGATTTACCAGATTCAAAAGACTGACATACCTTTAATGTCCCCAAGGAATGCAAACATTGATTATTTCCTATACATTACCTTATAATTACAAGCGAGATTTCAGTCTAGAGTTCTTGCAGTTGTGGAAATGTGTTATCTCGAAATACCTCGCAGTTGTTTATAGGCTGTTATTCTCTCTTACACAGGTGTTCAAGGCGATAAACGTTTCTGTGGTTCTTGTTGGGCTTGAGATCTGGGAAACAAAGAACCAGATTGAAGTGAACTCCTCAATGGGGCAATGTTTAAGTAACTTCTGTAAATGGAGGAAGGAAATGTTATTGCCTAGATTAGCACACGACAATGCTTATCTCTTCTCGTAAGTCTCTGATTGGCAGATATGATCTGGTTGTCAAATAGTAATATCCATAGTTTTGGTTTAATAGAATACAATTCCAGAATAATTCAGAATAAACATAATAATGTTTTTTTTCCATGTTATTTTTTTAAACACAATGTAATCCAGTTAGATATTTACCCAAAATGTCATGCATTTTTCACTGTAACTAATCTAACTAGTATTCATTTCCCTCTATTCTAGCTTCATATAGTATCCTTCAAAGCAATCAATGCCTTGTGATGTCAAATAAAAGGAATTGCGCTGACATTGAGGTAGCACATACCTTACCATGTTCTTTGGGCCCTAAGACTTTTTTTTTTAAGACACATTTTCTTTTGATGAAAGTATATACAGTATTTAGCTAAATGATACGGAAAGTTCAATATGGCATTTCCAAAACCAGACGGTAGATGTAATCCTTTAAAGTCTTGTGGGTCTCTTTTACGATCTCCAACCACGCAGATACTAAATATCGCTTCAGTGGGCATCAGAAGAACATGACATGTTATCCAAACCCCTTCAGCTGACTCCTTTCATTTTGAAGGCATAGGCATCTGTAGGATCTGCTTCACTGGAAATGCTTTTGGCTTTGGCCATGTCTCATAGATACGGAGACATTTAGAATTTCATGAACCAGATGTACACAATGACAGAAACTATACATATTTCCAGAGAGAGATCATTTGTTCTTATACACTATTGTTTATCTTACAGGGCTATAGACTTTGAAGGTTCTACCATTGGATTGGCAAATATCGGGGTTATGTGCAATGAACAATATTCTGCTGGAGTTGTCCAGGTGAGATTTAGAATAGTGATGGGCCGAACATACCCTTGAGTTCGGTTCGAATTCGAACTTTAGAACATGGAAAAAGTTTGAATTCAAACTCAATGAAAGTCTATGGGGGTAGAACTTGGAAAATCAATTGTTCCCTTTTTGAAGGCATTTATGCAAGTTATTGGCCATAAAAGGTGTATGGGGATCCGGGTACTGCCCTGAGGGATGTGTATCAATGAAAAGAAAACCTTTAAAAAAATACTGTTTTTAAAGGAGCAGTGATTTTAACATTGCTTAAAGTGACACAATAAAAATGAAAAATTCCTTTAACCACCTCCCGTCCCTGGCCGTTCCTGAACGATCGGACGGGAACTTTATAGGAGGGGGAGGGCGGTGTGGTATAAATCTTCCATAAGTAAATCAGCACAATTAAAATAATTTAAGAATGAATATTCAACTACTTGCATAAGCCCAGTCTTGCCTGTTTCTCTTTAAGCTGACCAGTGACGCTACATGGCTTGCCTGCATGACTGAACAGTCAAAGATTTAATTGTGTGGCCTGGTCTAGCTATTCCACTTCGAAAGACAGTCTGCTGCCCATTGGGGGATCTAATACAATACCTGTCTGACTCCCTCCCAGACCTCAGCTCCTTACACTGCAGCAAATGAGCAAACAAATAAAATGTGCCAGGGTTAAAACATCTCCAGAATTAATCAAGTTTTATTGGTGCAAGACACAAAAAAGCAGTCATCTCAAAACCACCTAGACACAGTTCATATGGACAAGGCTATTCATAAGGTCTTATGAGTAAGTGCTCCAGTGCAGAATGCAATTCTATTGTTCTATTCAGAACTCTCCTGTAAGTTCGGGCTGCTTGGTGATGTGTCAATTACACTGTGTCAATGACAGCCAGTTCATACAGTTAGTTGGTTGAACGATTCTAGGTGCCATATAACCCAGAAGAGGACTGGTGGCCAGCACTGGAACATGCAAAGGGTAAGTACTGCTTTTCTAAAACATTTTTCTATACAGAAAATAGGGGTTGGGAGAATAAAGAATTAGGGTTAAGACCTAAAGTCAGGGCCGGCCTGGCCATAGGGCAAACCGTGCACTTGCCAGGTGGGCCGGGCCGGGCTGAACACAATCAACCTGATTGTGTTCGGGTCGGTCCGCTATGCCCGATGGCCGAGTGTAGTTGGGCTTTAAGGCATGCTAAAATGGCCTCTCAAATAGCGTTATTGTAGGTCATGTTAGTGTGTCTTTAGCACTATTGGGTAGTGGGTTGAATGGTGCTGGAGGTTAGGTCCGCAAGAGGGCAGGTCACCAGCGCTGGGCCATGGAAGGGGTTAGGGTTCTATTCATATACAGTTCACTCTTTGCCCTCCAAATATCTGTGAACGCTCATTGGGGAGAATATTGTGAAAATTAATGTTCTTAACATATTTAAATATTATCTTAATAACTAACTTTGCATATGCTCCTCAGCTCCATATAGTGGCCATAATGTGCAGTATTTTGACTTTAACACATTGTAACCAATGGTTGTACTCTGTTGTCGGCAGGTATGTCCTAGCATTAGATAACCATGGGCATGCGCATGGACGTAAAATCTTGGATGCAGACTGTGTACATCTGGGATTTTATGTCTGTGCACATGTACGAGTTTAAGCAGTGCCGCCGTATACCTACCAACAACAGTGTATGGCCATTAACATATTGTGAGACCTGTAGCTCTGTGCCAGTGGTAATAAGCTGGCATATATGGTGTACGGAGGACAGCACCCATGTACAAAAGCCCTTAGTTTTATTTTATAGGGCTAAGTACACTTTCTTCAAGTAAAGGAAATACCTGTTGATCCTGATAGCAATCCAGTGCACTTGTAACTTCCTGTGAAGCAAACTGAAATCCAATGACGAGCAGTACCTTTGATTCCGGGTGAGTGGGGACAGGGAGGAGCCTCCCTGTCCCTCACTTGTTCGTCACTGCTGAGGCATCGAGGTCGATGGCCTTTTCTTTTTTCCTTTTTCGATTGGACAGCTTGGACCAATGGCGCTTTTCTATTGGTCCAAGCCATCCACAGAGCTCACGCCTCTAACACAGAGTAGAAACTGTGACAGCTCTTGCCTTACTTGTTAGGTTACACAAGCAATGGGGTTGCTCGCTGCTGTGTAACCTAACTACCTGTCAAAAGACGGCTGCTGCGCCGCCTGTAATTAACAGGCAATGCTCCATCCATGACAGGTTACACAGCGGGGTGGCTTTCCCTGCTGTGAACCTGATAGATGCCGATCTGATGGAGAAAAAGCCGTCAGCTTCAGACTTGAAGCTGACAGCTTTTTCCTCCATAATACTAGGTGAGGCTCTGCGTTCATCTTCTGTGAACTAGAGAGCGCCTCTTCCCTATGCAATACAGATAAGGAGGGAAGGGGGTATTTATAGTCCAAATGAGGAGTGCAAACTGGGGTAACAACTCTGCTCCTCCATTGATACAATTCAGTAAATGGGTGTTGTCACCCCAGAACAGGAAGTGTTTTGAGCCCTAATGCACTCTAAGGACTGTTAAGCCGTAATATTATACATTTTTGTTCTTGTTGACGTCACTGGGTTTCAATGTTCTATTCTATTTCTTTAAAATAAAATTATTTGATTGCAAATTTTTATGTGCATGTTGATCAGCCCAGGGGAGGGGGGATGGAGGTGGTGGAGGAGTCAGGGGGTATTGGGGGGCATTTTGTGCATACATTACACTTCATCAATATTTATGCAAATAATTGCAAAACAAAATTTACAATCTTGTAGAAAACAATCAACTGATGTTGACCAATAAATATTTCACATTTTCTCAATATCCTGCTGCAGCAGTGCATGCAGGAGTTCCATGCTGGTACTTGTAGTTGCAAAATATCATCTGAACATTGACTTTGTTTTCTTTTCCGTACATGTCTATATCCAGACCTTGTTTACTTCAGGTGTCTCTTACATTTTCCTTCTCCCTTCAGGACTTCACTAAGTCAGCAGCCTTTGTTGGAGCCACATTTGCCCATGAGGTTGCCCACAACCTGGGAGTGGATCATGATAATGTAAACTGCACGTGTTCCTCATTGACTTGCATAATGTCACCAAATCTCGGGTAAGATAAGAAATGTTAAAGCAGCTCCCTTTAAAAAATAATTTAAATACTTACAGCTCCTGCTCCTCCCATCGCCAGATGCCATTCCGTTGAAGAGGATTCAGCCTCAAAGATCTATGGGGAAGTCTACACTTTTTTAAGTGTATTAATCCACACTGTCCCCCACAACCCTCATTAGTTCCTTCAGCCAACTCCTATGTCACGCCAGGACACTGCGTCAATACCCTGTACCAGGGGCGTAACTAGAAACCACAGGGCCCCATAGCAAAATTTTGTATGGGGCCCCGTGATTGTGATAATTGCTAGTTATGCCACTTGCAGAGCCCACCTGATATACCAAACAGCCCACCTAAGAGTGACCCTGCAGAGCCCACCATAGACTCTCTATAGTGGGCTCTGCAGGGTCTCAGATGGGCTGCACCCCTCTTACCTGTCAGCACTGTCCACCTCTGTGGTCGCTGGGCTCCGCCGCCTCTTCCATCCCGGGCCCCGCCTCCTCTTCTATCGACGGGCCCCGCCTCCTCTTACATCACTGGCCCCACCTGCTCTTAGGTCACTGGCCAGGGATCATTCCGTTGAAGAGGATTCAGCCTCAAAGATCTATGGGGAAGTCTACACTTTTTTAAGTGTATTAATCCACACTGTCCCCCACAACCCTCATTAGTTCCTTCAGCCAACTCCTATGTCACGCCAGGACACTGCGTCAATACCCTGTACCAGGGGCGTAACTAGAAACCACAGGGCCCCATAGCAAAATTTTGTATGGGGCCCCGTGATTGTGATAATTGCTAGTTATGCCACTTGCAGAGCCCACCTGATATACCAAACAGCCCACCTAAGAGTGACCCTGCAGAGCCCACCATAGACTCTCTATAGTGGGCTCTGCAGGGTCTCAGATGGGCTGCACCCCTCTTACCTGTCAGCACTGTCCACCTCTGTGGTCGCTGGGCTCCGCCGCCTCTTCCATCCCGGGCCCCGCCTCCTCTTCTATCGACGGGCCCCGCCTCCTCTTACATCACTGGCCCCACCTGCTCTTAGGTCACTGGCCAGGGATGTAAGAGGAGGCGGGGTTGCTCTTAGGCGGGCCCCGCCTCCTCCTTCACTGTGAACGCTGGCCTCTTCTGCCGTAGCTGCTGGCTGTCATTGACACAGCTAAGCAGCGGCTGTGAGGGGAAACGCCACTGCTGAGCTATGTCAGTGACAGCCGGCACCCTTACATGCCATAGCGACCCAGGCAGCCCACACGGCATCAGAGGGATGCCCTGGCTGGGCCGCCCTGTGGCCGGGCCCCATAGCGGCCGCCTGAGATTGTTAGGCCACTGCCCTGTACAGCAGCACTCTCAGACTAGCAAAGGGAGGGCCAGGACTGGGGGACAATCAGATGTGCTGCATGCAAATAAGCTGGTGAGGAGCAAGTTTGTAGGTGGAGGGATCTGAATGAGCAGAGAGTTGGCCTCATCATCCTTGCTGCTCCTTCACTGTGCAATCACAGGCTGGGGGAGTGCTGTATTTATCACAAATTATATTCCTGCATGTTCCCTGGAAGACAGCAAACCTTCACTTTTTGAGTTCAGGTTGACTTTAGAGACATGACATCGGTGACCTGGAACATATTGACCCATCACAAGGTTGGTGCTCTTGTCTAGTTAGGGGAAGACATAAAGGACTCCTCTGGTTAAAACAAATTATGAACTATGCACTTGCAGTGGGGCTACCCCCGCACTGCAAGGGTTAAGTGCTTGTTTTTACCTTTATACTCACCAGATACTCTGAGCCAGCCGGCTGTGACAGTGCTCCCTCCCGCCTGTTTCTTCATCTGCTGTAGCGATGGTAACAGCGGCACTCTAATTAGATATGATGCGTCTTTATTGACGTGAATGCGACATATCACACAAGTGCAACGTTTTGTGGTCACAAAGGATCCCCTTCCTCAGGGCCCAATCGCACCATATCCAGTGCGTCCCGCTGCAGGTAGTGAACAGAACGCACTGGATTGCATAGATCTCACATTCCAGTGCAGGCGATCGCACTGGGCGGCATGTCTGTGGTGCCATTGACATGAATGGCAACAACACGCCCTATCCTGCCCCGGAACGTGTATACGATCTAGTGCGTTCCGGGCGCGAACTGCAGCAGGACGCACCGGATATGGGGTGACTGGGCCCTCAGGCAAGAAGGGGATCCTGTGTGCCCCCGAAACGTTGCACTTGTGTGATATGTCGCATTCACGTCAAAGAAGATGCATCATATCTGTAATTGGAGTGCCGGTGCTCCATCGGGAGGTGAGCGAACACATACTGGCGGAACAGACGGGGGAGGGGGCGGGTACTGCCTCTAGATAGGCAGAGCCAGCTGTCAGTCACGCAGCTGGGTGGATCCCGACATAATTGTCGGGATCCGCTTCACCTGCGGCGTCTTAGTATACCGCAAGCAGCAGCTCGCGGTATACTGCGGCGTCACAGTATACATTTTTAACTGGAGTTCTTCTTTAAATAACTATACAAAAGGAATGAAGTTAACTGTTCAGGAAGAGACATGGAAAGACAGTAATACATTCTAGGTACTAAACCAGTTTCGTGGATGTGGAAGTAATAGCAGAATTTGCTGTGGAGAAAAGAATTAAACAAAAGGTCACGTAAAAAGCACATGGTAATATGTTCATCGTCTCTTATTGGTATTCATTTCCTTACAGAAGAAGCTGAGGAATAAATAAGCAATTTTATGAACAGCAGGGATAAGAATGAAGTCACAATACTATTAGAGCCTTGGTTCTCAATTGGTGGGTCGTGACCCAAAAGTGGGTCGCGACCCCGTGCCTTCCATTTTTCTAGGTGAGAGGCTGCTCAGCCTTCCCCTACTGCAGCACTGTCAGTTTTTGTGCCGAGCAACCATTTAACATATGCTGCCCGGTGCTGAGTGTAAGCGTGAGGTGGGATGGAGCTATGGCCGCGAGGGAGCTCCATCCATACATGTATTGCTTACAGCTCCCTCGCATGTCCTGCAGAGGTGCCTGGACTGGAGTGACATCACATTCTGTCTCCCGGCACCTCTGCAGGGTGCACAAGGGAGTTGTACAAGCAATGCACATATAGATGGAGCTCCGTCACAGCAACCCACACTGCACCCCAGGCTGAGGATCCACTCCAATTCTCATACGGTAGGTAGACACAAAAAAACATAATTTTTTTTTAGGAGTGTGCATGTGTGGTTGAGAATGTCTACGAGTGTGTGAGATTGTATCTGTGTTTTTGAGGGCCCGTTCACACTAGTGCAATGCGCTAATCGAACAGTCCCGTGCGATTATCGCACTGTACCATGCAAGCTCACCTACTATGCGTTCTGGTGTGGGATGTGCATTGCGTTGCCATTTATTTGAGTGACACCCCAAACACACCTCCCGCCCACAGTTCATTTGCCTGCACCAGAATGCGCGGTACCACAATGTTGTGTGTTCCATTGCAGTGCGACTTGGGTCATGACTTAAAGACTAAGGACAAATGCGGGTCCGGAGGTTACACAGGTTGAGAACCACTGTATTAGAAGATATAAAAGCTGAATAGAATCTTATAGACCAACAACAGGATGCTCTTGTTTGCATGAAGTGAGCAAAAATAATGGAACATAGTTGGTAAGCACTTAGCAAATGTAGGCTCTGTCTCAAACACTGATTTATGCATTTGAACATACTTCCTGAGACTCAGTCTGTACGGAAAGTTTGACAACCTGCTGAGCTGGTAGTATCCACAGGCAGGGTCAAACTCACCAAGAAGACTCCGAGTAGAATTCAATGTAGTTTATTCAGGACTGCTGATGGCTAAAGTTGCAGCCCTCTAGTTAGACTCCCAGCCTCACTGTATTAAGAGAGCTCTGTACATGGTGTTACAAGGCTTTCAGATAGAAATGTCTTTCCACCTCTAAGAATGATAAAGAATCACATCCTATGTATTATAGGATGTGGTTCTTTATCATTCTTAGAGGTGGAAAGACATTGGGGCCTGAGGGTGGAAGGGGCCCCATTAGGTTGTTGAGGCAAATTAAACATAGAACATGTGAAGATAATACAGTACTGTATCAATAAAGTACAGTTAAACCTTAGGGTTTTTTTTGCATATAGTGTATCTACTGCAAGCTGTATATATATGCAAAAACATAAAAAAAGTTACTAAATAGGTAAAAACTTACCTGTGTCTCGCTCCAGTCGCTCTCGTCCAAAGATCTGATGATTCTCGAGCGGCCGTGAAGGATCATGGGGCGGGTGCGTGTGCAGTAGAGATCTTTGGCTGGGAGAAGAGGAGAGACACGGCACAGTCACATCGTTAAAAATTCAGATACGTTCTGATATGTTATTTCTTTCATTCGGAAATTCAGATGCAATCCGAATGTCTGATAATGCAGCAATTAACGTATGTGCGTTCAATGAACTTGGATTATACTTTCACCCCACAAGACAGTGGTCTTCTACTACAATCAGGGCCGGTGCTAGACTATTTTGCACCATAGGCAAGACCAGCTACTTGCATCCCCCCAGCCCTCCTCCAGCGGCACAGCCCCCACTTTCCCCGTGCGCGCGCAGTCCCATTCTCCTGCCGGCTAGCCTCCTGCTATTGGCTTTTTTCATTTGAAATAGCCAATAGCAGACTGGCTATTGAAACACCAGCAACTGAGCGGACCTGAGAGAGAAAGTTGTCTCTTAGCATTGTTCCTCTGCTCAGTGGGCGGGTGCAATAGCCAGTCTGCTATTGACTTTTTCAATTTTAAATGGGGGAGGCACCATGCAGGGGGTGAATGGTCAAAGCTGCGCCCTAGGCAGCAGTGCGACCTAGGCGGCTGCCTAGTTTGCCTAGTGGCAGCACCGGCCCTGTCTACAATACCACCATATCATTGTCTGCCTCCTTTTTCTCTGAGTTATTAATAATTTGTCTTCTCTCTCTCCCCTTACAGTTCTCTCATCCCTAATACATTTAGTCAATGCAGCCTGGACCAGTTCAAGACTTTCCTGATGACCAAGGTGCCCACGTGTCTGTTGAATGAACCCAATAAAAAGACCAGTATGGCCCCACCAGTGTGCGGAAACCACTTTGTGGAGATGGGAGAGCAGTGTGACTGTGGAACTGAACAGGTCAGTCTGTATTCTAACCTTCACTAACGACAAAAGAGGGTAAAATGCATCTGTAGGTTTGTAGCAAGCAATAAGCAGCAAAGGAGAAGTGCAGTAAACATAGATACTTCCATTTTCTCATTCATGATGAACTCCAGGCAGATATACAAGTCATACATTATTGCAGCTCTGCATTCATTAGTACATTATTAAATGTATCCAGACAATGTTAAAGCTGTGCGCTGCTTCCCAAAGAATCCAAGACCTGTAAGCATTACTAAAATGCAACAGAGAAAGATCAAACATGCTCCCTTGCCAGGCAGGTCTGTGTGTGACAAAACTGTGTAAATTTCAGGACTGGATAGACAGAAATACAAATCCTCTGCCAAGTGAAACAGCTCCCATACGTGTATCTCATCTGTGCACTTAGTTGGCATGGAGTTCCGCTTTTAGCTTCAAGTTCATTAAAGTGGACCTATTTATAATGGGTGGCAAAAGCGCAATTTGAGGAAAAAATAAAAAAGACTTACTTCGCATGCCTCTTCATGGAGGTGCTGGTAACACCACCATGCTTCACAGCTGTCTCCTTCTTGGTCTAGGCACTGCCATGCTGGATATTACCACATTACAATTAATTCTATGGATGCACCGATACTGATACTAGTATCGGTGCCGATGCCGAATATTTGGGCGAGTACTTGTACTCGCCCAAATACTCAGATACCTAGCCCGATACCCAAACTTCTGGTATCAGGAGCAGGGCCAGGAAACGTAAGCCAGGGTCATACACAGGAGATCAGAGAGCAGAGGTACCAAATCAGAAGGAGGAGGCAAAGTCATTGGTCACAAGCCGGGTTCATACACAGGATGTCAGGATACAAGAACAGAGTACATGGCACACAGGGACAAGCTAAAGACCACTTAGCAACCTGGTCATGGCTTCATGCCTGTTTAACTATGATAGTGTGACTGTGCACCTGTACGCTAACGAGGGCATTTCTGCACACTCATGTACGTGCGCAGTTGCGCATAAACGTTCCCATATGCATACGTTCATGTGCTAAAGCGCGTTTTCCAGGAACTTTGGGCAATAGATTGCATACTTTTGTGCGTGCATGTTTTTGAGCAGGAGTCCATCTGCAGGTAAGTCTCTTACAAAGACAGGTAAAATAAAACTTAACTTGCAAAGCTCATCTCATGTCCAAAACCCACTCTGGGTGTCTCCCTTCACTGCAACCATAGTAGCTCCAGCCTGCAATGCAATGCTAACTGAGAAGATAATAATAATAATAATAATAATAATAATGGAACAGGCTCTGACTCATATTCTGCTAGGTGCCCCTAAATGGATACATACAGTAGTTACTACTTTACTTAATGAATTGCTGCAGATTCTTCATCTTGTTGACTGGACTGATTTTGAGAACTATTTCTTGGTACTGTTTATACTTACCGCCATATAATGAGCGCATTGGACACATTGTGTTTTTCTTATTAGGAATGCACCAATCCCTGCTGTGATGCCCTCACATGTAATCTGAAAGCAGGAGCTGTATGTTCAGATGGGGAATGCTGTGAGCAGTGTCAGGTGAGTGACATATCTTTAAAGCATCCGTCAATCTAGAGTCCAAATTCCCCTAAAGGAAATTAATATTGAGGTGTATTTATAAACAACTCACACAGCCATTTGCTCTGCATTTACATCCATTCTGTGTGAATGAAGGCAAAAACAAATGTTGTTAGCATATTTTCTTTCCTGGTCAAATGTAATATCAGAAAAATACATCTTTATGGCCACTAGATGGAGCGAAGGAGCAGAGGAAATTAGAATTAGAATGGACATGTAATTTTTCAGGGTGAATGGCTCTGCGCATGAATAAAAGAGATCAGTTTGATGATAATATTTTTAATTTGTTTTAATGTTTCTTTGTATAATATGCATATGAGAGCATCCATATTTGATCCATATTTGCTCATTACATGTGCAGACTCTGTTTCCTACTTTGCAGTGCTACACATTGCTTGTGCTTTACTACTCTTTCTCACAATGGAAATTGCTCAACTGATTGAAAATGAGCTTCGAGTGTTAAAGCCTATCTCCGGGGAGGAAGGGGAAACCTCCCCTTGCAGTGGCTACATTGCAAGGATCAACTGCTTCTTTAGGTCTGGTGTACCTGGGTTAAGGCATTTACTTAACTGATCCCCTGCACTCCCCTGGCATTCATCTCCCCTATACTCCAGCTTGTGGACTGTCCTTCAGCGTCCTCACATAATGTTGGGCTGTATATGCAACATATGTGATGATATCAGTGTGCAGCCTCCCTACAATGTGATTTTTTTTTCCTGGAGATAGGCATTAAGTAGAAAGGATGAATAAAGCCAAATTTAAATACAGATCTCCTGCTAGTAATCTAAAAATCCTGTGGTGCCAATACAGATTTTAGAATGCCACTATATGTGGACGATAGATATTGTTGAAGGCCTTCTGTTTAGGATCGGTTGGGACCCTTATCATCCCTTTATCACACTGAGACAGTGTTATCAAAATGCCCATTTGAACCCAATTTTTGTGCTAATAAATGTAAATTTTGGTGGTACTACAGATTAGGAAAGCAGGAAGTGTGTGCCGACTCAGCCTTCATGACTGTGACCTTCCAGACAAGTGTGATGGGAAATCCAATCTCTGCCTCGATCTTTTCGAAACAGACGGAACTTCTTGTATGAATGGCCAAGGTTATTGTCTTCATGGAAGGTGTCCCATGCTGGAAAACCAGTGCACTGCCCTGTGGGGTTCAGGTAACTAACAGCTGCCATCATCTTCAATGTATGCGGGTCTCAAAAATATGTATTGTTGCTAAAGAAATTGCATTTTGCAAACATCAAATTGTATTGACAATGGATAGCTATTTAGAAGGATCATGTATGAAGGATTGAATTCCAACGATATAAACAGGTGCCAACTACAGGATGTAGTATGGAGGAGAAGGTTTAAAGTGAAAACCTGTTTATTGATGCCTCATGAAAAATCAATTCAAATGAATTAAAGAACTATGGGGTCAGGTCTTTTCCCCATAGTTCTCCTAAGGGTAACGGGAGGACACAAACTAGGGTCCTCTCGTCACCCAAAGCTCAGTATAAAGCAAACTAAAGCTTGCGGTATACTGAGACGCTGCAGCTGGGACGGATCCCGACATTACTGTCGAGATCCATCCAGCTGCATGATTGACAGCTGGCTCTGCCTATCTAGAGGCAGAGCCAGCTGTACCCGCCCCCTCCCCCGTCCGTTCCGCCAGTCAGCGCTGGAGGCTCAGACAGGGGAGGGATCCTGCTCTGCACTCCGCTGCCTGCCTGGTTTTGACTACAGCTCAGCTTGACCCGATCCAGTGCCGGAACTCCAGCTTGCACAGAGTGATCACCACTGGCACTTTCTGTCACTCGCTGTGCACTCAGACTCTGTTCCCAACTCCAGAGTCTTTGGGACACGAGGTGCAAGGGAAGCCTTCTCCCACATTCAGTCTCCAATCAGGTATGTGACACAATGTCATTATTTAAACAATGGTTTCCAAGCTTCAGTCAGCCATGTCAGCCATGTACCACGTCTTTGCCATACCAAAGTTTTATTGATGAAAGAAGATGAGCAAAGAGAACCAAATACTCTGCAGGAGCAACCATTCCAGAGAGCACTCCACACACACTCACTCCTCCAATTCTGTACGTGGACTCCCGCAATGAAGGTCTCTCAGGTGCTGGCCAAAAAAGGTGCGCTTTCACCTGTGGAAACACAGGTACAAGCAGGGCCAGTGCTAGGATTCTAGGCAAGGTAGGCAAGGTGCATTTTTGCGCCCCGCACCCTCCCCTCCCCCCTGTAAAAAAAGGGCATTTTGACAAGTACTTGTACTTGTCAAAATGCCCCGATGTTTGCGCTCTGTTTTTGTTTTGTTTTTCCACTTACCTTCGACGCGGGAGAGCAGCGGCGAGTCAGCGCTGGTCCGGTGGGAGGAGCTCCAGGTGGGGTCCTAATTTAGCTGGCCGGCGACTGCCTGAGGTGCCACGCGTGTCGGGATCCTCTGGCAGTCGCTAGCCAGCTAAGTCAGGACCCCACCTGGAGCTCCTCCCACTGGACCAGTGCTGACTCGCCGCTGCTCTCCCGCACCAAAGGTAAGTGAAAAAAAAAACATAGCGCAAACATCGGGGCATTTTGACAAGTACAAGTACTTGTCAAAATGCCCTGTTTTTTCTGCCCTCACCCTGCAGAGCCCTCAGGCGGCCGCTTGACTTGCCTTGCGGTAGCGCCGGGCCTGGGTACAAGCATAAGCCGCACTCAATAGATCTTCTAACTTGAATCCACACTTTATTACTGTGCAAATAACAAATACACCATACTGACACTCCCCAGACCCGCTCACGAGTTTTCTCTACCAAGGCTTAAACATAGACATCTCTATGAATAGGCCTTGGTAGGTGAAATGTGTGAGAGGATCTGAGGAGCGCCTGTATGGTGTGTCTGTTATTTGCACAGTAGTAAAGTGAGGATTCAAGTTAGAAGATCTATGGAGTGTAGCTTCTGTTTGTACCAGGATTCCAGGGAGCACTCACAAGACCAAGGAAATTAGTAAGCAGTTGCTTGGCATCAACGCCGATGCAGCTACCATCCTATAGCTGCACCTCCCTCTTTTGCATTGTTTTTTTAATCACTTTCCTTGCCATACTCAGCTATTCATTGCCGCCAATTTATGCTCTGTAAAGGCGAGCACCACCCCCCTTGTCAATTACTAGAGTCACTAGGTCAAACATGGTGAACAAAACTATGAGTGCATGCTTTCTCAGTGGTTTTATATTAAAGTGACACTAAACTCAGGAGTTGAAGCTTAAAAAATGCTCTAAAGTACCTTAACTATTAAAAGAAATGTTACTTATTTGTATATCTCTCGGCTGTAGATCCTCAAATCATCAACACACACAGGGACCATGGGGAACAAAAGTAGCCCCCCTCCAGAAGGGAGGACAGTGTCAGCACCAATTCAGAGATGATTTGAGGATCTACAGTCGAGTGATATAAATAATGTGCAGTATTGTAAAGATAAGACAAGGTACTTGAATGTATTTTTAATTTAACTCCTGAGTTTGGTGTCACGTTAAATGAGGATCCTCCAAGGTATTTAAAGGCATTACATTTGTTGACTAATTCAGCATAAATCGGGAGATGATTTTATTTCAGTTTATTTGTGAATATTATTACTCTCCTCCCAATTACCAGAGATTTGATTTTAGGCATAGCACATGTGAAAATGACACCATTCCTCTTTTCTGTAGGAGTACATTATCTCTTTCTTGTTGGTTGCAGATGCTCTTGTAGCTGACGATGACTGCTTTAATGTAAACATGAGAGGCACAAACTATGGATACTGTACCCAGTTGGGGGGAAAATTTCAACCATGTCTTCCTCAGTGAGTATATATATATATATATATATAAATGCAGCTCCTATTAAGGGGAAATGATGATGTTCTGTCTCAACCACCAATTTATGAATTTGTAGCAAATTTGCTTGGCAAGTCTACAGCAAGAGTCCTGCAGGTCTTAGCAAGAGCTCTGCAAGCTCGCTGGTCTGGAGACTTGCAATGCAGACTTGCTATAATTGTGCAACAAAATTGTGAAGCTTGGCAAGTCTGCAAAAGTTTAGCAAGTCATTTTCAAACTTGCAGCTCAATTGCTTGCTATCTGGGTAGCCCCCTTCTGCCCCTGGCCCTTTATTGAAGAGACTCAGCAGTATTCCCTTCATTATATATGCATAGAGTGGTTAAGTGACAGCTTCCTCAGCCCATGCTTCTACCAGTCATGGGTTCCTTTCACCAAAGCTCCAAGGCCCACTCATGACACAGCCGTACCAAATAAGCCAGCTAATATATCAACACAGATAGCAAAAGTGTTTTTGTTTTTACAAAGTAATCTACAGTAGAGCTACTTGTCTCCTGATAGGGATGTTAAATGTGGCGTGCTCTTCTGCTCTGGTGGAAACCCCAATCCCAATATTATCAATACCCTTATGGCTACGCTTGATAACTGCAAGGCAGTCCTGCACCCATCCGGAATGGTAGTGAACGGCACGAAGTGCGCAGATGAGAAGGTGAGAACAAGAAGCCTTTTTACACTGTTCATCTTTCATTACTGTTTTTTGGAATTCTGAGATCATGTGGAGATATAGAGTTCAACAATATTTCTATCTGTGTGGCCCTCAGAGTGTCTGACTTAATGTGGGCCGTGTACCCAGTTCAAGGTGATCCCGATTCCTTGCTCCCCCATATAGAAAGCTTCACTTCTGGCCAGGGAAAAGATCGACGCTGCTGTACTATGAATGCAGTTGTTCCGTTTGTGCTTTTAAATGTAGTTATTACGCATTCAGTACATCCCTCAGGTGTGAATAATGGCACATCTGATTATTTTGTGACAGTGCTGGGGCTTGTAGTCTCCGGCACTCCAATAGTGATGCAAGCACATCTTTTATGCATGTTCACAAAGGGTCCCTTCATCAGGCGAACAATGTGATGATGGATTGAACGGCCAATCACTAGGGCCAAACACTATCATAACATCATCACCTTGTCTAAGCTCTGACACCAGAGCTTAGGTGAGGATGCTGCAGGGAGGACATGATGAGGAAATGTGGCTTGGTAAGTGTATATGCCTGGGAGCATGGGCTATGTGCAGACACTGCCACTTTCCTCTGAACGGGCAAAGTGACAGTATCCATTAAAGTACAATAATAAGATATGACATCAGCACACCGACAAGCTTGTTTCCAATTGCAAGATCTTCTTTATTGCATGGTCACATAGAAAAACAAAGTTTCAAGTCCGCTTAGGGATCCTTTATCAGGTTTCATCGCAACCCCAACAAAGGGTCCCTAGCGGTCCCTAAACACTGTGACATAAAGAAGACTTTTCCCTAAACATGCAATAAAGAAGACTTTTGCACTTTGAAACAAGCTTGACGGTATGCTGACAACCACAACCGGATTTACCCTCCCAAACAACCCCTACCCCACCCCCTCACTGAGAGAATGCCGTTTCTGTTTTTTCTTTCTTTTTTTATGTATTACTTTATTTTTTAATGTAATTATTATTACTTATTATTTTTTACTTATTTTTATTTATGTAATTATTTTTTCCACCTAACTTTATTGCTATTACTGTGTGATAGCATTTGGAGGTGACATGTTCTCTATATTGAACCTGTCACCTCCAATACAGGAGTTCTAGCACAGTACTGTGCTGGAACTCCTGTGACAGGTGAGATAGGAAGAGCACAGTTGTCCCCTCTCACTGTCTACACGGAGCGGCAGGGTGATTTTTAACCCTGCCGCTCTGCTCACCACTCTACATACTGAAGACGGCGGCAAGGACGGAGCCGGGAGGACGCAGCATGGAGAGAGGTAAGTGCAGGGAAGGGGTTGGGGGCGGCAGGGGGATGATGGACCAGTTAATTACAAGTGATTTCGGCCACATCGCCGAGATTACTTGTAAAGAAACAGGTGAATTCTCCTATTCTACATTTAGCCCGGCTTGTGCAAAGCAGAGCTAAATGTAGAAAACAAATTACCGCCCGGAACTCCATGTTCCGGGCGTCGGGTGTACCGCCCCTCTGCTCAGTGCCGCCCCGAGGCTGGGCCTCGGTGGACTTGCCGGGAATCCGACCCTGCTGACAACAAATCTTATCCATGTTATACACTGTGACCAGTCGAGATTCCTTGCAGCATCCTTTTAACCATATGGTTGATTCCAGTATGGTGTGCAAAGGGAATATACTTCATGTCTTTAACCACTTAGTTTTTGCACACACATGTTAAATGTCTGAAGTTTTGGCAAGAAAACTAATGAAAACCCTCAAACAATGATATATTTTCTGAAAGCAGAGGCCCTGCAGAATATAAAAATGCTGGTTGCATTTTTTTTATTTTGCACAATATTTGTGCAAATGTTTATCAAATCAACAATTTTTGAATGACGGCCCTAGAATTATTTCTCACTCTAACACTCACAGCGATATGTGCATTGCGTTTGTATGTGGGGGCAGAGAGCTTTAACATTTTTTTTATTTATTATATGTCATTTGAACTTTTTTTTATACACTTTTGTATACACTTAGAGTGACACTAAACTCAGGAGCTAACCCTTAATGATTAAAAAAAAAAAGTATCTTACATAGGGATGCACCAAAATTTCGGCCCCGAAACATATTGACCGAAAATGTTACTTTTGGCAAAATGTTGAAAGTGCCATCTTTCAACCGAAATGGCGGTGCATCCCTGGTTTCTCTCCTCCCCGCTGGGCGCTGCTCTGTCACACAGGAGGCTGAGTGGTGCATGAGGAGAGCGATGTAAGCGGCTGGCGTCTCTGCTCCCCGCACCGTTCAGCCTCCTGTCACAGATAAGAGGAGAGCAGTGTGTGTGGGCAGAGACAGCTGTCAGTGCTGTCACAGAAGGCTGAGCTCTTCTCCCGCACCAAACCGCCCAGCCTTCTGTGACAGATCGGGAAAGCGGTGGTGTGGAGCGGAGACAGCTATCAACTGTCACAGGAGGCAGAGCCGGCGGTGCAGGGGAGGAGTCACCTGTCAGAGGAGAGCGAGCTCTCTTCCCCGCACCGCTCGCTCAGCCTCCTGTAACAGCCGATCCAGGATGGAGAGCGGGTACAAACACTCAGTGATCGCTGACTGCTTGTAAATAATTGAGGAAATAGTATATTTACTGTGTCCCCAAATATGAATGAATGGGAAGTGATCTACATCACTTCCTGTTCATTCATGATTGTGGAAATGGTAAACATACTATCTCCACAAGTTATGAATGAACAGGAAGACTCAGTATAGAGGATTGCTGTTCATTTATAGCAGGGGCTGCAGAAAAAGAGATTGAGGACTTTGTGTTCTCAATCTCTTTTTCTATTTTAAAATGGAAATTTCAGGGGTCTGTTTAGACCCTTAATATTTCCCAGAAGCCCCCAACAGTAAAGTAAAAAGAATACAAATATTTAATAAAAATAAATAAATAAAATAATTGCAAACATTGGAAAAAAAAAGCTTTGGTTTTGGCCTGACATTTTTTTTATTTTCGTTTTGAAAATTTTTGGTGCACCTCTAATATTATAGGAATATATCACTCAAATCATCTCTGAATTGGTGCTGACACTGTCCTTCCTTCTGGAGGGGGGCTACTTTAGTTCCCCATGGTCCCTGTGTGTGTTGTAAAGTAGCCACCGCTCCATGCTCACTCCTGGGATGGACTAAACATGAAATTGAAGTCCATCATGACAGGGAGTTTGGAGCAGAGGTTACTTTACAACACACACAAGGACCATGGGAAACAAAAGTAAGGTGCAGTATTGTTAAAAGTTAAGGTATTTGAATTCATTTTTAAGATATAACTCCTGAGTTCTGTGTCACTTTAACATTAGTTTTATCACATATGAGGCTAACATGTCCTCTTTATGTAGATATTGGGGGTCACCTAGTGTCACCCATGGGCCCCAGTGAAGCTGATGAAACACACATTGTGCTTTACCCGCTTCTTCTCCGGTCACAACGTTTGGATAAATGACAGCCCAAAACTGGAAGTGATTAAATCCTCACCACTTTCAGGTTCAAGTGATATTACACAGTAGGTGTGTGCAGATCTTTCTCGGGTACACTAACACCCACCTGGACAAGGGACAGCTGCGACGGTGTAGGAGGGTTGTCACCTACTCAGGCCCATACAAGTAATCGGGCAGCTCTATAGCTCTACTACTATGTGAAATTCCACAGATGGCTGAAAAAAATGAGACCAAGGTCAGCTGTGATCTTGTTTTAACCAGTTTAGGACCATGACATATATGTCTATATCGTGGTCCAATAATGTTTAAAGTACATCTCCAACCAAAACATTTATTTTTTTATTTTGGATACAGCAACTCTTATTCTTCTTTGCATATAGTCAAATACTTGAACTGCATGTCTACCTGGCTGATGAATTGTGTGTATGGGGAGCACTCATATAGGTTTGCTTCTTTATAAAAGTTATGAAGCCTTCTGTCTATTCTCCGGATAATACACAATGTAATGTCTCAGGGATGAATAAACTTTGCTTTACCTTTGCAGATCTGCTACAGGGGAGTGTGCACAAGCAAAAACACTGCATATGAGTCCCTTGCCTGATTTGCTGAATGCGCAGGCCATGTGGTAAGATTCCATTATAAGGGTATCTGGAGCTTTTAGTTTGAAGAAAAGCTCTGAGGAGAAAATATGTAGCCTCCATTACTGACCAATTCTGATGAGCATGCTAGTAATAAGTGGTCAGAAGCTGTGTGCGAAATGTGAGGAATCCACAAATAGGAATAGAGCCAGTGCTTTCAGGGGTTTTGGGACACCCCATTTCTTTAGGGTTCTGGGAGAAGGACATTAAATGATGAAGATATTAACAGGAAGAATAAATGGGGGCCTTATGAGCTGGTCCTTGTTGGTGCTCTGATCTGATATAAAACCACACTGACCCGTTGACCAGTAACAAGTATGCTGATTGAGTGGTATGACTTTACAATTACATAATTTGCTGTGTATATGTCCTAGGGTACTGTAATACTGCAGTCACTGAGTCCTGGCTTCAAATCTTCCCATATCTGTGTGAACTTCATTCACTGGAAAAGATGCACTTAGGGTTAGGTCACAACATACAAATATATCAAAGGTAATTATATAAAGTGCAATAACCTTTTTACAATAAGGTCCTGGAAGAAGACATGTGGCTACAATTTAAAGCCCATCTCCAAGCACGCCATATATCTACCCTAGCAGTGGAGCTACCCCATCCCCCTCCCCCCAACTACAGGGGTTAAGTGCATGCTTATGTCTAGGGGACAGGGAAAAAGTGACATTAAACCCTCAGATTTTTGAACATAAACCAATACTGTAATGTGTGCCTTACTGTAATCCATGGTTGTTTCCCTTCTCTTTGCTGCTCTTCCTTTTAAATCCGTATCTCTTCTCATGCTT